AATTTTTGAAATATTTTTATTCCCAGCGTTATACTAAAAATCGCATTTGAAAAACCTGCTTGTTTTTCGAAAGGCTATACAGTTTATGCAAGCAATGAATATTATTTTCGTAACAGAGTGCATTGCAAAAAGAAAAGCGGCAGCGGGAGTTCCGTGACAGCAAGCAAACAGAAGCATCATATTTATTTCCGTAATGTGTGCACATTGCGCATACGCCTCGTGGTGCGAGCGTTTCAAGCAACAGGGCGCTAAAAATGCTGTTAGCATTTCATATACACATATGTGCATTGCTTGTTGTTCTCGTCTTTGTTGGTGTTGGTGCTGTTGTTGTTGTTGTTGTTCATGTTCTTGCTGGCGTTTTCAATGTCAAAACAAAGGCGTTGAGTGTGTAAAAAGGTGAGGGTGTGAGTGTGGCACGCGACACGCTTCGTTACTTGTGTGAATTGTTTTATTTGCTCTTTCTGCTTGTTATTATTATTGTGCTTGCTTTTGTCAGGCAAACAGCTTTTTTAATCCTTTTGACAGCGCCAACTGCGCTTGGCAGGCTGTCTTCTGTATTTTTTTATGTGCATGTCAATTTTTATTACGCATACGCAGCATTGTCTTTTATGCTGCTGTTCTGGCTGTGCCTTTCAAAGTAAATACATGAACATAAACACACACATATCAAGTGAATTTACAATTGTTTAACGTGTCTTGTCAAATGGTAACGAGCTAAAAGGCAAAAGTGATTTACAACTATACAATCATTTCGTTCTGACAGTCTTTTGCACTTGCGGTTTTTATACTCCGTACTAAAAAACTTAAGTAACATAGGCTTAAAGGTTGCAGGCGGAAGTCTGGTGGACATAATAAAGCATTGGCGTTATATAAATCGCAAATATCATTCCAGCTATAGTCAAAAATTCTGATCATTCAAAATTGAAATAAAGACTAACTTGAGCTTCTAACAACATCATTATGAAGAATTTAAGAAAGTTGATGATCTGCCTGTCTATCCATCTGTCTATCTGTTCTGCATTAATGTTTTGTCTGTGAGTATGTCTCAACACTTGTATATCTGACAATACATATTGAACTAATATTAAACATGAAAACATCATAAAAGGGTTGTGAAAATGGAATAAATGCAATCTATCTATATTTCAATAATGTAGTCTAGTATATATCTAATTCAAAAAGGAGACGCAATATTAAAGAAAAGTACAAGTGTGGTTGAAAAAATCGCAATTTTCTGATCCAAGGAGCAATAAATGAGACCATTATCACCATCTTGTTATTTTGTTCCCCTAGAGTAAGTGTCGCAGACAATCTTCGTTATGTTAGGCTTACGAGCAAAACATAAACATTCACAAACTGTTCAAAAAAATACAACTATATTTGATCAAACCTTAAGTATCTTGAATTGTATTTCCTTTAGTCCTTGTCGCTTTCAAAAACTCTGTCATTATATTTCAAATAGTGTGATGCATTTTTCAATCTATCTGTTGATCTGTCTTTCCATCAATCTACCTCAATTTAAATATTTCATAATGCAGCTGTTCTTATAAGTATATGTACATTGAATGAATATGTACTTGTTCGAATATTAAATAATTTTCTTTAATACAATTATTGCGTGTGATGGACAAAAACACTTTGTGGTTTTTTATGATGCTCGTAGTCATCTGCTCACCCAGACTGGCCCCACCTCACATCATTTGCAAGCTGGTTATACGTTGTTTAAGCCTCCATGTTTGTGTTGTAAAACGTTTTTACAGTTGGCACATATGGTGCTTGCCATAAAATATACAACAACATATCCATATGCTTGTCTAGGAGAGAACTTTGCCTACACACACACACACACACACACACACACACACACACTCATGCCATACACAACATCGAGTGTAATTAGTGTAAGTGCCCACATGAATTGTTTTACATCTTTTGGCAGCGTTCTTTTCACTTTTAATTTGCACAGCTTCCACAAGCACACACACACAAACACACACACACACACACACACATACGCACACTAACTAGGACATTCCCCTCAAGGCTAGGCACTGCGCTTGCATTGTAAAATGATTTAAAAACAAAATAAACTTTTCCCCTTAGTCTCAGTCTCGCCATTTTTGGCTGCCATGCCGAGTTTTATTTGGTTTTGGGTAATTAAGCCTCTTGTTTTGCAGTTAAGTGCAAAATAATACGCACACCCCCTCCCCAACATCCACCGCCCACATTAGGCCGTACATCTGTCTATTATTTGCACAAATTCAAAGATAAAACGTGCTTGTCTGCTCGCTTCCTTTTATATATCGAACGATTTCATACCAAATCGTTTGGTCAGCGCCATTGAAGCGCAACAAATGTGTTTTTGTTTTTGAAAACAAAAACAACAAGCAATATGGCCAACAACAAATTCAAAGAACCTTCAATCAAGCGAAACATGACTTTATAATTTCATTAGTGGACATGCCAGAGAATGGAACAACTTTAGGTGGCTTTAATGGGTTAAGCGTTTTCCACTCACAACTTTACAACTTTAAGGTGTTTAACAACTTAACTTGTTGGCTGTCTGGCTCGTAGCGATTATGCAGTTAAAGAATTTGTTAAAGCAGCTAAGCGCCTTACCCATCTACTAGGGAATAGAATAGCAAAGTTGCGACTACTTCTGTTGCAGCATCAGCAGCTTGCTTAGCTTGTTGACTGTTGCAAAGCCTCTCTAATATAGTCTATCTATGTGGTAAGTGCATTTTAGTGGGATTTAAAGGGAGAACTGCTGCATTTAACAGCCACAGGAGTATTTCTAGTTTGCTAAACTTTCTAAACAACATTAAATGCAATTAAAAACAATTGAGGTATGTATTTTATTGGCGGCTCACCTATCATTTGTGGTGCTTAGACCAAATGCTTGGTGGCACTACTTGCATTACTTCGGCAAATCTGATTATATGGAAATCATTGGACAGTTTTCAGAACTGTCGAAATAAATGTGTTTAAGCTTAAGAAGATTAAATTGTGGTCAGCCCACCCGCTTATCTGAGTTCCGCACACCAATTAGAAAAATAAAACTCATTGTAGGACATTTGTGCCTGCTAACCAAGCCCTGATTACGCTTTCTAGCCAGTATTTTTTGATACACTAACTAATTTATAAAATAGTCAAATCTACTAGTTGTCGCACAATTTCGAATTGAAAACGGAAGTAATGTGTTTCTTTTTTTCCTGTTACTACCCCACGTGCCAATTTCTGCACTATCGTGTTCACAAAATATTTATCGCATCTGCTGCTACATGAGAGACAAGTAAGTAGTTTATATCGCTTGCTATTTCCTGTAGCTACCATATTTTCAGCTATCATTATGGCATATTTGGTCGCATAGTGTGATAATTTATTTCAATAAAGTGTCAAGTGCTCTTCTGAAATATTAATAACTTATTCGTCTGCTGTACTAACAATCTTTTATAGAATGTATTCAAAATTAATTAAGAGTAGTTAAAGTAAATAAGTTAAAGAGTAGAACTCAAATGCATAGCTCAAAATGTATTAACCTAAGGCATGCTCGAAACATATACAAGTATACAAGTATTTCAGCAAAAATAATAGATAGTTCCACTTGTCCCTTAAAATTAGCAACGAAATTATTCAATTATTAAAACACTGTAAGCATTTTTTATAATATACTTGCTCTCTAATGGTTATTTTGGTAATTCTGAGAAAATCCCAGATGGACAATAATTTCATTTCAATGTAATTTTGCAAATTATTTAATTAATTCTTGGCATATAGCCACTACATTTATCGACAATTTAAATGTACGGAGGTCATCGCTAATATTCTCAGCATAGTATATTAAATTTCATCTAAAATAATTTAAAACAGAGTCTGGGAATCTTACAGTTTCGAAGAATTAAAGACAACAATGTCTAATGAATGACATGACTAGAATTTGGACGAGTAATTTAAATTTTATTTTGTTTTTTTTACTTCTGAGTTGTTAAACATCAACAAGCCGTAGACATTTTTTTGGTGTAGTTTTTTTCACAGACTGATTATTGCTGCTGGTTGTCAGACTCCTCTGCCCTTTTAGTTTGACTTAACTTTTCTGCTCCTTGTCTACCAACAGGGATTACTTTCCATTTATCTCGTCTGACTACACTTTGCATAATCATTTCTGGTTTTCTCAACAGAACTCTCTCTATGTCCCTTTTTCCCTCTACTCTTCAAAAACTGATCTCTATAATCATTTCCGGGGAAATCTTGAAGCACTTACGGCAGTGACTTGGCATTCTTATCTTTTAGGTCGAATTTATATTATATGGTACATTCTATTATATAGTATGTGGACAGAACATATTTTGTTGACGAAATAATAATCAATAACATAAATAATTATGAAGAATTCTAGGAAGTGTTGCACCAATAGTGTTTTATCATTCAATTAACTCTGTTTCCTGGGTGGCACACTTTTCTAGCCAATCACACGATGTCGACGACATTAGGATCAGATTGCGGCCACTCAAGAACACTATTTTTTTGGCTCTGAATCCACATTTTCCCAGTACTAGTTGCGGCATGGTAGATTTCCAAAAATATTCTCAAAGTGCTTCAATTTCTTTTCAGACGAAGAGAGAGAGAGAGAGTGGATATATCTATATATTTGTTCCATACCAATTAAAGGCAAATATATATATTAAAGAATATTGTTCGTAAAGCTGTTGAATTTGAATTTTTGATTTTTTAAGATTGCAACATGAATTGCAAATTTGTGAAAAACTGCGCCAGGTCAGTTACTGAATCATTTCGGCAGAGAAATGCGTCTCACAATCATTTACTAATCGCGTAATCAAACGATAAGAACACAGCATAAGCCTCACAAATTGGGTGTTAAATGTAAACAAACAGATAAGGAGCATTTAAAAAAGAGACCCTGCTCTGTTTTTGGCTCTATTTAAGGAGGAATGCAATGTATTTAAATCTAAAAAGAAGAACACTTTTTAAAAATAACTTACATTGGCGCCCGTTGCTTCAGCGTCCGTTTCTTCTTCTCCCACCACTGCCTCGTCAAAGTCTCGTTTGCATAGAATGTTGAAATTATTTTTTAAACGCTTTTCAGCAAACTTGCAGAACAGGTGGCAAATGTCACGTTGCGTATAAAATAATATTTAATATCACAAGGCAGTCGAGGATGAAGAGTAGAGAATATTTGAAAGACCAGTGTGCATGAAAAGAAGATACAAGCTGCCCAAGTCGCTGACAGTTGCTGGCAATGACGCAAAGAGCTGGCAAGGTTGACACGATGTGGGCTTAAATAGGCATCCAAGAGTCTTGGCCACTCACTCACGCATAATACCGAGCATGGTATAAACGGATTAAACGGATTTATTCGTATAAGACACAGAGAACGAAACAAAAACAACAACACATACAGAATTAGAAACAAAATATAAAAGACTTGAGGAAATCTTTTTCTCAGATTTTGACGCCCCTCTAGGTGGTGTTGCTGCGGTTGTTTTTGTTGCTGTTTGTTATTGTTGTAGTTGTTGTAATTAACGGCACAAGAAGCATTTGCATAATTTGACAATAGGCTGCTTCTTCTGTTGCTGCTGCTTCTTTTATTATTCTTGCTGTCGCCGCTTACGTGTGAAAAGCGCGCTGAAATTTTGTGCCTCAATTGATTGGCTTTAACTTTCCATGACGGTTTTGGTTGCCTTTTTCAATATATATATACTATATATATGTATGTGTGTGGATGTTTGCGTGGGCTCACTTAGTTTCTATTCTCATTAGCTGCGAATATATGTACTGGTATATATATTTCTGGTTAAGTATATTTCAAGCACTTGAATTTTCAATATTCACTATATTTTCCATATACATGTATTTATATATTGCTCGAATCTATTTTGCGCGCACCAAAAACATTCCATTTTTCATTTAGCACAAAAACAATCTATACACATATTAATATTATTATTATTCACAATTGTGTTTTTTTTTTTCTTTCTTGTTGGCTTTTCTGCAATTTCTAGACGCAACTATTTGTTGGCTTTATTTGAATTTCACGCGCGCTGCCGCCTTCAGTTCTGCTGCTGACCGTTACAAAATTCTAAGACAGAGCAGGCCACCAAACGAAAGAAAATGGCACGACGCTGCTGAGTGAGTCCCGTCCGCCTAGTCACTTGTCGCTTGCTTGACGCGCGCACGGTAAAAATTTAACTGGAAACTCGAGCACACATTTCAACACAGCGACCGAGCAGATAGCAGCAGCTGTAGGAGCAGCGGCCGAGGCAGAGGCAGCACCACGACGCGTCGTCGCCAGCTAACAGCTAGCAGCCAACAGCAAACAAGCAGCAGAACACACGACCAGTGGCGGCGCAACGACCAAGACACGAAATCAAAATGTTTAACAGCGACCGGCTGCTCATACCTGTGCGTTATTTAACAGAGCTCCACTGCTTTGCTGTTCTCACGCTCATACTTGTAAATACGTGCTGTTATCAGACCCGCACACGCACACCACATTACGTACACCGCATCGTATCAGTGTGTCAGTGGGTCGGGCGCACTGGGCGCCCACTGTTAAGCTAAGCAGCCAAGAGACAGACAGAGCGAGAGTGAGAGAGCGCGCCTGAGAGAAATAAAACACTCTCTTGCCCTTTCAATGCGTTTGGCTGCAGAGCGCCATTTGCTATTCAGCGCTTAGCAGTCGAAATGTTATTTACTCGCCCACCGGGTGGCGCGCATTTTGAACTGAATATTATTCAAATTAAATTTTATTGAAATAAGGCAAATTTATTCATATTGGCTATACGAATATATTTGAATTGTCAACAAATTCAAATCACATGCTTCACAACATTAAAAAATGGCGCGCTACCAAATACCACTGTTAAATGTAGTTACAGTAATAGTGTGTGAAAGATAAAATGCTGCTCTGCAGTATGTTAGACTAATGTAAAGCTGAAAGCAGTTACTAACAGACCAAAGATCCTGTTCAGCCAGAGCGCTTAAGCTTTTTAAAGTTATTTATCGCGCCAAAATACAAAAATGTGTTGAAGTATAATTCTTTAAACTCAATATTTGTCAAGCAGGCTTCAACTATATTGCGCTTCATATATAAATCATTTTTACACAACAAGTATATTAACCGCTTTGTCGGCTTTTGATTATATTTATTATACAATCGTCATTAGGAATATTCTTCAAATAATGAATATTTTATTCAGTTCAAAGATCACATTATTCCTCATTATTTTCTTTTCTCGTTGCCATCTTGGTGAACCCAAATACATGAATTTTAAATACAACATTTGTTGGAAATTAACGACACTTGCAATGTTTTAAAATTAACCATTAAAATGCCACGTATAATTGAGCAATGAAAGCAGATCAGCTGAAATATTTTAATGTCATTTCCATTTAATTGGCTTCCGTTAATTCGCGTTTATTATTATTGCTTCCATTCGCCAACCATTTCTTTTGAATAGATTTTAAAAATAGCGCGCCACGTAAAAAAAAAAAACAAAGTATAATGTTAAAACGATGGCGGTTAGGCGATAAGTTGCCTCTTATTACAATATGCTTGCACTACACATGCAATGCCATCCTACCTCTACTAAGTACGTTTAGTATTAGTAGGATAACATTGCACTGTAAGTGTGTCGTACATTTGAATGCTGGATGGAGTGTGTCAGCTACAGTAAGTATAATGTTAGTGCTGAATATGTTATTTGAATCCACGCTGTACAATGCAATTAAATGATTTTCTTTCTATAATGAATAATTATATTGAAAATACAACATTGCCTGTCATTAAGGTATCAAATTAAATTTCAATGTAAAGTCAAAAACAGTTTCAGTTGCTATCAAATAATTCAACGACAACATATTTGATTTATTTTTAAATGCTTTTGCCCATAATTACCAATAATTAAAGCAATATAAATTAAAGCTTTATAAGCTAACATTAGCTGTCAGCGCAAACTCATAAATCTATCAGAAAACACACACCACTCGGTTCATTCCAATAAACTGGCGAGAATTATTATCTAAACAAAAACAATTCATAAGCCATCGCTCAAAAAACCACTATAGTATTGTGTTTATGGGGCTTTTTACTTCTGTTATACCCTACATTCAACGGATGAAAGGGTATGGCGCCAAAATGATGTAACAGGCAGCGCTAAGCATGGCAGACATTAGATATATACATACAATATATTTATAATCAACATGATTAGACCAATCGATATGGTATGGCCTTTTTATTACTGCCTCGCCATGATCTCATGTTCACATGTTCAATCGGTTCACTCTATAATATAGATGGAAACGAATATTACAAACAAGATTACTTTAGCTGAAGGACTGTGTATTAGAGGGAAGGCGTATGCAGGACAGTGTATACAAGAGTCGGACTGGTGTGACTCTAGCGTTCTACTCGATTTGTTTCGAGTGTGCCAAATGGAAGAACATGAAAAGAAATATTTCCAATCAATTGGCAAACAAAAACTAATAAAAGTTCATATTGAACAACTCGTACATCTACAAACACAAAGATGCCGACCATATTTTTCAAAAAACGAAAAAGATGGAAAGAGCAGCGGTATCAAGAGAAACACTATTGTTCATTCATTAAAAATATAAATTCATTGAACATGGAAGATCAAATATTACAAACATAGACTCGTGTTACACACTTATGTATGCATGCTTCTGTTTGTGTGTGTGTGTGTGGGTGTGTGTGTGGGATGTGGCTAGCAGATAGACTGCAGAATATACAACAGTTGTTTATTTTTGAACAACAACAGCAACAACAAAAAAAACAGCGGCAGCAACAACAACAACGAAGGCTACGGCGTGATAAAATATGTTTTTTTAATGCAGATTCTCGTTTAACGAAAGCAAAAAAATAAAATGATGAAAAGCAGCAAAACAAAAAGTGGAAAAGGGGAAGCTGCAATGAACGAAAGCCAAACTAACAAATGAAAATGCAAACGGCCAACAGACAATCGAAAATTGAAAAGAAATAAAAGTGTGAACAGCACCAGCCACAACAACTACACAAAAAGACTACTCTACACCTACAATATCACTGTGAACATTTTGAGCGGCGAAAGAAACGATCTTTTTTATTATTTTGTGTTTGTAGAGGAGAACTAAACTATAAGTTTTCTCACATGCATAGATATTTTACATAGTCGTACGAGCTGTACTATTAATTGTTTTACCAAATTCCTACTGAAATGTAATTCCAAGTTGTTACTCAATCAAAATAACCAGAAGTGTTGTTTGTTTCCCGATTTTCCAAATACTCGATTTGTAAGTAGAAAGAAATGATGCTACATAAGCACTATGGAACCGATATATTGTAGGAATTGCTTATTATTAAGTTTATCTTTTTGTCAGTCTCACATTTGGTCTTTAAAGAATATATGGTTTTGAGTAGTCATTTGGAAGGAGAAAATAAAAAAAATCCATTAGATAACAAACTTTGATGCGCCACCTTATAACGGCTTCGATAAATAAAGTCAAATTCCACATATTTAATCTGCATTATAAAAGAGTAATATGAATTTATTTTCGCAAAGGAAAAGAAAAAAGAAACAAAGAACAATAATATTGTTAATTAATATTGAGGAATGTGCATATAACAATATCCGAAGCTCACTCCTAGTGTGTAAAAGAATGTAGATATATGTCGGCGCTGTTTCTATATAAAGGAATAAGAAAATTATCTTTAATAAGAAAAACACGAATTTAAAAATCAACATAAAACAAAATACCATTTGTTCCGGAACGGATTTGAAGGAATATTTTAAGACTTAGGAACTTTTATCATACTATATACGAATACGTATTTCAGCTTGGAATTGACCAGAGCTAGTGTTATTAGACTCATAAGATCTAATTCTTATCTTATTTTATGCAAATATTTAAAATATCGGTAAAATATTGCAATTAAAACAATAATAATCACTATTTATTTCCATTATCTTCAACTTATCAGGCGGTTTGCTGGGATGTTCGAGTAGACAGCCACTGAACTATTCAAGTCAAGCGTATGGACAACACTTTGAGGATGTTGTGAAAATACTACGAACAACCTGAACACAAGCGATTCAATTAGTAGATAGAAATAAATTGCACATTCATAAGCCAAAGTGGGCATAAAACTTTTTTATGTTAGTCCTCATTGAATACATGCCAATATGGCACCGAGTCTACTCGGAATATCTGCATCTATACTATATAGTATTTTTGTCGATATGTGTATGGCTGGCAGAAGGAAATTGTCACACTTCATTGGTAATTCACACGTGCCTCATGTGTGCGTAAAACGTCCAACCAATTCATAAAAGTACATAGTACTTGTATAAATATAAGTAGCTAATATATAGCTATTCCACAAATCGACCGGAATTCGCGTAAGCTATAAACCTTTCAGTGTCTGTCAAGATGAGACGTTTGTGTGTTTTAAAGCACTGTATACTTGTAGAATTAATTATTGGACCCACCATCGGCACAATTCTGCCGTGTTTGTGCGCATGCTGTCAATGCTTTAGAGGGACAGATTAAAACAAAAGCTTTTGAAAAATGCCTGCTCCT